AAGAGTATTTTCAACCCTACGGTACTTAGGACAGCTTCAATCCTAAGCAGTAGTTTTCCACCCATCTGAGTGGCTTCCTCTCCTCGGTCTCCCCCAGAGGGCAGGTACAGCATACCAAGACTTGTTCTTGCACAGAACACCCACTTTCTTAGTGATTTCACGCAGACTTCAGTGAAATAGTTCAGAGAACCCCAATGGTCTTCAGGCCACAGTTTGCAGGTTAGAAAACGAGAAATGGGAAAACTATTGAGCTACGACATGGAACACACCACTACTGACAACTGTTCCACGACCTTTACAGACAGCATCTGCAACTGTGGATCTACCGTTACAAAAAAAAAAGGCAGAAAATTATGCAGTGGGCAAAAGTCTTGTGACTCCTGTATCATTTAAAACAATAACCACATATTCTAAAACGCAAACATTTGCTGTAACTTAAGGATTTGCTCACGGCCTGCATTTCAACACAGGATCAATAGCAAAGGGTTGCTAGGCAGATCAGCAACTAGAGAAACTTTGCTGGCTTCAGCACAATTGTGAAACTTAAATAAGGGAGTAAACCAAATAGTTAAACAGAAACATCTAGTATCCCTTTCAGGCAGTCTAGGGAATAATGACTGGGCTCTAAGTGGCATTTCAAGGGTAGGAAGATCTCTCCTGATCTCTCTTAATTCTGCCAGTCCTGCTGGGATGTCCAAAACCCTAGGGCTCCTAAAAATGAAGCCCACATTTAGGCATGCGAGTTGTTACTGACACATACTATTGTTTGGTGCAGGCAGGGTGTGGTGAGGTGGTCTTTTTTGGCATGATTTAAAAAAAAAAAAAAAGAAAAAAAAGAAAAAACAACCAACACACAAACCCTAAAACTGGCTTAAGAGTGGCCAGCAATCAATTTAAAAGTTTTGCACTCTAATGTCTGTGCATTGGCTCTTCGGAAGGATCCTATCCGCTCATTTGAAAAATCAAGTTTCTAAACTACATCAAATAGGTAATATCCTAATAGGATTGTGTGATTTATACCACTATCCTTGGAAATCCTCGAGACCAACTGCTAACTGTTGTTTGCAAAAGACATTCAGTTGACTAAGCGTGATGGAAGTGGAAATACATTGACAGTCTTGATGTGCAGAGGCTTTTGAACGTTCTTATTCCTTAATTATTTAATGGCTACTACATGTGTCAAAGTTGCACAGTGGTTTAAGACATTTCTCTGCAAAATACTGAACAAATTCCTGAGGTCTGGCAAAAGCAACATTCTTCATGTGTGTTATGGATCATCCTGTTGCCCTCTTTCCCCCCCCAAAACAGCCATGAAGGGTTAGTCTCCAGACACTTCGTACACCCCCGCCAGCTGCCTCTCCTATGTGACCCACAGAATAAGACTGAATACAGAACCTCAACCAGACAGTTGTCGGCAAATGGTAAACATTATTCAGACATTCTGAAGAGGAGGAGGTGAGGTAACACGCAGCGAAAAAGGTTCCAAATACAATTCTTACAATGCTACTGCTTTATAAAAAATACAAACGGATCTGTGATTATTACAATTCTCATCTACACATTTGCTTACCTCTGGTAGTATTTCTATTGAAGGAAGCAGTTACTGAAGATTAAAAGTCTGCTAATAGCTTTTTGTTAACAAAGCATTCTCTCGATCGCGGAGCAACTCAAAAGTATTGAAAAAGTGCTACTGCTATAACCAGGTACAAATGCAAAGAACAGCTCTGGGCCTTCGCAGGAAGGACTGAAAGCTGCCGTAACTGTGAAAAGTCATATTAGAGCCCAGAAACATACGGGTTCCAATCGTAACTTCAAACACAGCCTTTCCTTAGAACACATGACTTTCCTTCAATTTTCTTGTGTCTAAAGAGAACAACAGATGTTCACTTCACAGAAACAACATATGAGTTGAAGTGTGCAAATACTGAATATATTAATAAGCAAATTCAACTACTAGATCTGATCTAAGCTATTAAAACTTAATAAATAAAACCTATGCACACACATACCACTACCATCAGAAAGTCAAAGTATACATCCAAAACAAGCAATTCTCAACTAGGTGACAAAAAACCCAACAATCTGCCATCAGTAAGAAGAATTTTGTAAGCACCTGCAGGTAACGTAAAAGTTACAAGGTCAGTCAGAAAATAGCAAGCAAAGTCTCCCTTTCGTTGATGAAGAGATGCAGCAATTTCACGACGAATTTGTTCTGTGACCTCTGAA